TTTGTCCAAAAAAACCAAACCAAACCAAAACAAAACAAAAAACAGAATCTCTTTTTTTGGTCTGTATTGTTACAGACATACTTGCTAACAGATATTTTGAAATAAAATTACCAAAATAATTTAAACTGGAATGTTATATTGTGTTATTTTAACAAATAAAATATGCAGAATTTTGTAAATTTTAAAACATTGTGTGCAGAATTCTTTTTTTTTAAAACAGACTTTTTAATTTTTTGGTGCAGAATTCCCCCAGGAATAATTGACTTCTACTCAGTTCAGGGAATATGCTTTATACAGTCACTTCAGGAAGAAAGAAGGAAATGAGGACCCTTCTGTTAGGATAACTGAAAAATCACTTTTAATACCAAAATTTGAGTAGGTAGATGTAGAAAACAAGAGGCAAAAAGACCCCACACATATCCATCACTGTTTATGGCAATGTCAGTGTTTAATTTTGGGTGTTAAAAGGGCACACAAATTGGAAATCTTATTTCTACCTGACTTTATTATACTTATTACAATTGTACATAACATCTGAGGCCTGGTCTGAAAATAACTGAAAAGTTATATTGGCATAGCCACATCAGTCAGGGGTGTGCAAACAAAACACACACACACACACACCACACGAAAGAAAAACACGGTATGACATATTCCCAACCCGATCTCACCCATTTCAATAATAATTTTGATTAAAAAAAAAAAACACACACTCCACATACACTTTGGCGAAAACTGTTACCATTTAAAAGCAGGAGCAGTGGTGGGCAACCGGCAGCCCACGGGCGGCCCGCAGGTTGCCCACCACTGCTATCGAATATTTCCTGCTTCCCAATACTTCCTAGCTAGTAGATTTATAGTGCAGGGCAGACAACAATCTCAGCCAGGGTGGCCAACCTGTGACTCTTCAGAAGTTAATATGAGGCTCCTTGTATATAGGCACTGACTCTGGGGCTAGAGCTACAGGCGTCAACTTTCCAATCTGCCACAGGCCCTGCCCCCACTCCACCCCTTCCCGCCCCCTCCCCTGAGCCTGCAGTGCCTCGCTCCTCTCCCCCCACCCCCCAAGCTTCCTGCACGCCATGAAACAGCTGATCGCGAGGTGCAGGGAGGGAGCGGGAGGCGCTGATTGGCCGGGCTGCCGGGAGGCACTGGGAGCGGGGGAGGGGAGGGAGCTGGTAGGGGGCTGCCGATATATTACTGTGGCTCTTTGGCAATGCAGATTGGTAAAATCTGGCTCCTTCTCAGGCCGGCCACTCCTGGTCTAAGCCATCGATTTTTGTAGCATTTAAACTGTTCTTCTGAAAATCCCATGACATTTTTTTAATAAATGTTCAACACTGACCTAGCACTGTTTCCACTGAAATCAGTGGGAATAGAACAGTGGACAACTCCCTCCTGCCTGCAGAATGCAGGAAGCAAGGGGGGACAGGATAGGCGAGATTGCGCCTTCTATCAGCTGCTGGGGGATTCACATTTAACAGACATCTCCTACTCAGAGGCCAATACTTAAAGTGGAACTTCAAAACAAAATCCACAGCCAGCAGCTTGGTAGGAATCCCAGTGACTTTCCCCATCCCCCGTGGAATTTTACCAAGGCATTGCCCCATGGTATTGTCATTGGTGGGTCCTTATCCCCCAGTTTATTACACTTATTAGCCAGAGACAAATTGTACTCCCAACTAGCCAGTGTCTGATTTCCCCCCCCCCACCCCGGAATTCATAAAATGTATTTCTTTTATCATATGACACTCGGAGAATGATGAAAACAAAATCCATGACTACTACGTATGAAAGAATAGACAATAACCTTCCTTGTAGTTCTAGTTTATCCACCATTCTAAGACAGACTCAAGAATTCTACTCTGGGCAGTCAATGATGCAGTCAATGCGGTCAATGATGTAGCAAACAGGAGCAAACATTGTTTTTTAGAAAGATGCTGGTACTTTTTGCAATTAATCACCCCATACTGATGTTTATTTCAAAAGCATCAGAGTAACACATTCATTCCAGTCAGGTGAATTAAAGCTATAATCTCAACGTTTGGCATGTTAGACAAATGACCTGCCTCTGACCCTTATCACAGGCTGCTTGCCTCCCAGCGACTCAGACAAAGACTGCTCTCTTCAGAACACCACCTCATACATGCCACATAGCTAACATCTACTGCCCTCCAAAATAAAATAGAAGTTGATAAATTTCACCGAAATTGCAACAAGGCAACATAGATTAATACAACAGAGCTGTACATGTCAGATCTCTCACTCCCAAACAATGGGTAAAAAAAAAAAAAAGTTTAACTAAACAAAAACCCAACAAACCTATCTGCATTCCATTACCATCCATCAAACACACTTACAAAAAAGGGAAGTTAGCTAAAAATACTTCTATTCTGTTGCAGTCACAGGAAAGTATAAGCATGTACACAGCTGAAGCACACACAATTCTTCTATAACCTGTTATAATTGGCAAGTGGGAATATTCTTGTCTAGGAAGTCTTACAGTGACAATTTTAAAGCAAAACCTTGCACATCTAAGTTCCCATGGAAGTGCAAAGTAACACTTATAGACAACATGTACAGAACATACCCATGTATAGAAAGAGATTATAAAAAGAAAACAACTTTTTTTTTAAAAAAGGTCAAGATTTTTAAATAGTGTCTAGTAATTCTGAATGCCTCAATTGTTAGTTGGTGTCCAACCTGAAACACCTTAAAGGGGCATGATTTTCAGAGTGGTGGTATTCAAGCTTTTTGAAAATTAGGCACCCAGAAACCTAAAGCACTCAAAATCTCATGAGTCATTTTTGAAAATCCAAGTTTATAATCATGTGTCAGCACTGACATGCACCACAAGTCTGTACACTGGGCTGTATAACGGGATTTGTAGTAGTAATATTTTGCATTCCCTCAAAGTATATTTAATTCAGATTCAGTGGCACTGTTTTTTTTAAAATCATTAACAATTCCTGTCAAGGTTCCTTCCCCACTCTGAACTCTAGGGTACAGATGTGGGGACCTGTGTGAAAGACCCCCTAAGCTTATTTTTACCAGCTTAGGTTAAAACTTCGCAAGGTACAAACTGTTTTACCTTTTGTCTCTGGACCTTATGCTGCCACCACCAAAGTGTCTAACAAAAATAACAGGGGAAGTGCCCACTTGGAAACGTCTCCCCCCAAAAATATCCCCCCAAGCACTACACCCCCTTTCCTGGGGAAGGCTTGATAAAAATCCTCAACAATTTGCATAGGTGAACACAGACGCAAACCCTTGGATCTTAACAATGAAAAAGCAATCAGGATCTTAAAAGAGAATTTTAATTAAAGAAAAAGTAAAAGAAAAACCTCTGTAAAATCAGGATAGTAAATACCTTACAGGGTAATCAGATTCAAAACATAGAGAATCCCTCTAGGCAACACCTTAATTTACAAAAAGACACAAACACAGGAATATACATCCCATTCAGCACAACTTATTTTATCAGCCATTTAAACAAAACAGAATCTTATGCATATCTAACTAGATTGCTTACTAACTCTTTACAAGAGTTCTGACCTGCATGCCTGATCTGGCCCCGGCAAAAGCATCACACAGACAGAGAGGACCTTTTGTTCTCCCCCCCCCCTCCAGCTTTGAAAGTATCTTGTCTCCTCATTGGCCATTTTGGTCAGGTGCTAGCGAGGTTATCTTAGCTTCTTAACCCTTTACAGGTGAAAGGGTTTTTCCCCTGGCCAGGAGGGATTTAAAAGGTGTTTACCCTTCCCTTTATATTTATGACAATTCCATATTCTGATTTTTTTAATTACATGAACAACCAAAGCGAAAAGTCTGATAGAGAGAGAAATGAATGAGAAAAAGACAAATTTGCTCTGACAGTGTTGCTCTAGTTTTAGAAGCATATTTTTTTCCTTCCTTGCTTCTAGAGCAGATTTGGTAAAATACTTCCCTACTTTTATAGAAACATATTAATTTAGAAATATTCAAACCATAATAAAAGACAAGTGAGAAATTTCTGCTCTCTTTTACTCGGTTACACACGAGACTTTTAAAACAGCACAATATGCACATTTTAGATGCTAAGGAGCCTTTTTGTGAAAATGCTAAAGGCATCATTCAGTATTTAACAGATAGGCATGGAAAAGCACAGAAGACAAAAATGCTTATGGGAAAATATTTACCTACACAAATCTAATATACATTAGAGTCCTAAATTTTCTAAGACTTGTTTGGGATCTAGACACAAAACCCAATGCAACTCTGAAAACGTAAGGGGCAGGGAGAACTGTCCTATTATACCAACATAGGTCCCTACTGTAAGGCTATTGCAGCCAGTGGAGTCACACGAAGGATGAATTTGTTCCACTGGCTTTATTTTTCTGAATTACTGTAGATGAAATAATTTGCAGTGCAGAATCTATTCTAAAAGAATGCTGTTCTTAAAACTACAGTTACGTTTGCCAGTCCTCATTTGGAAATTATACCAGGTAAGCACTCCTACCCAACACCAGCTAATCTTCCCTGGTTCTATCTGCCATTAGATTGAAGCTGATATTTCATTCTTCTTCTAAGATTGCCTCTGTTACTGTGAATTACTGAATGTTCAAAAGACTCAAAATGTCCTAACATTATGCCTCCGATTGGCAATTATTTGAGTCCTATAGCAAATGCTTATTTAAGAACACTAAGCCTTCTCTACTTACTGTACACTTCTGAGCAGTATACTTCTTCCACAGCAGTTCTTAGAAGACTGAGCCTTTTGATTAGTTCTGAGCCAGTTTCACTCTCAGAAAAAATATATATTCACAGGAAAGTGAGTGAGGGACCTGTTTTTGGGGTGAGGGAGGGACCTGTTTTTTTAAGCAAGGCACTGAACAGGCTTTCTACGAATTACAGGTCTCAAAAAAAAATCCTTCCCCACTCTTACTCCTCCTTTAGGAGAAGAAAGTCTAATGCAGCTAAGCCTTCTTATATAATCCATAAAACAAACCAAAAACACTTACTGTTTATGTGATCGATATAGTAGACACCAATCTGAGGATCATATGCAGCTTCCCATCCCCATGGTAGTTCATCCCCCACACAATCCGCGAATGACAAAGGCTTTGTTAACCTAAAAACAAATTAAAGTAATGCAATTAAAGCAATGGGGTTTTTCTTGAAAAATTCTGGACCTGTCCTCTTGTTCATAATTAGAAGCGAGGGATTGCTATAGAGGGCTAGCAGGAGGAAAGGAGAAGAAAAGTTGCCAAATGACATGGAAAAATAACCTCAAGCTCTTGAATGACTTTCCAAGGATATCCTGACTATATTAACTCAAAAGTTAGATAAATTATTCCCCAAATTTGCCTAGCCTAGACATTCGATTGAGAAATCTACTGTAATGCTATCCTCAAACTCTCCAGTAATTAAACAATAGCAGCAGACAACAGCTTGAAAAATCTACTCTCCTACTTGACTCTTGTAAGTGGGAGGACCTACAGTTTCAACCTTGATTTCCAAAGTATCAGTCCTCTGCTTTAATCATAAAATCATCCTTCCTCCGCAGTGTCAACACAGAAAATTCAGAGAACAGAAAATAACTTCCCATGGTGTACCATACAGGTAATCCTATTCTGATGGACATTTATCCTTGGAAGCATGAGTGGCAGCTGAAGTAAGACTACTAAATCTTAGAAGAAATGTCTAAATTGTAAGAGTGAGTGCATGCAGCTCACAAAACTAAAATTTCTCAGAAGCTCACAATTCATGCTGCAGTGATGGGGGGCCATAAGTACACCAAGATAAGACTTCTTACTGAAGAATACTGAAGTCAGTATATTGTGTATGTATCAGCAGTCAAAGCAAGATGACTATACCAGCCTATCAAAAAAAAAAAAGGGGGGGGTGGGGTGGGGGAAGCAGGGTGACGAGACAGCAAATGTGAAAAATCGGGATGGGGGTTGGGGGTAATAAGAGCCTATATAAGAAAAAGACCTAAAAATCAGGACTGTCCCTATAAAATCAGAGCATCTGGTCACCCTAGGAAGGGGGCATGTATTCACCAATGAGATTTTACTGAAACAATTCACACCCTTTCCCCGTCTCAGAGAGGAAATGGGACTTATCTAGTGTCAAAGGGGCCTGATCCAGTAGCCACTGACTTCAGTGCAAGTCTGATCAAGCCCAAATAGAGTCTACACTAGTGTTGTTTTTAAAATTCTTTATTAGTGGCAGGTGCAGCTGCACTGGTGCTAGCAGCTGCTTAAATGCTAGCGTAGGCAGGGCACAAACAGTTTTACCATCATAAATCCTAGGGTTTCATGTCACAGCGGTAGGAACAAACGTGTCCTGAATGCATTAGCCCTTTCATTGGTTAGAGCATCAGTGAAGCTGCATCCACTGCTAACAGGTAAAAATTGTTAGCGTAGACATGACTGGAATGTGAAAAATGTTCTTCTCAAGATGCAGCAGCCTTGAACCTTGTACCTAGACCCACAACAGAAGGCCTGAGGAACTCTATAGGATGACATTACACCATCAAAGCCCTGGTAGGATTACATTTTGAGAGTCTACATCTTCACGTCTCACTCTTCCTCACTCATCTCTGACTTCCTTTCCTTTCTGTGCATTGCTTACGTCTTTGCTTCCCTCATTCCTTTCTCCTTTTCAAGCTTCATTCCACATTAAAAAATTAAAGTGTTCAATGGTTATCCCTAATCAATGTCTGTAGGCATGTTCATTTTTTATTTGATGACTAAACAATGACAATCACTTCTAGCCAAACTGCAACTCTGAACGTTTCCCTGTGGAGATTCCCATATGGTGTGTGTTAGAGAGAGACCCCTCAGTGTGAATTCTCTTTGGATGGATTTTATCTGTTTTGTGTATGTATATATATGTATATACATGGTTTTGGGAGAAGGCAGTAACACTTTTTTTTAGAATGGTTAACAAAAGGTTTTATAGGAACCACTATTTCTAACAAGGCACAATGAAACAGACTATAACCATAATTGGTTACATCTGTGTCACATCAGAAAGAGACAGTGTCTTCCATAGCTAAGGTTGAATAAAGCCTTCCAGTATTATACTTTTATTTCATTTGGAACAAAATGAGTACTGGTTTTCCAGCTGAAAGACCAGAAGCTTTACAGAATACGGATATATTTTAAGAAAAGGAAGGATTTGGGGATTTACTGTCTAAGTATCAATAGGATTGGAGGTTGCATCATAAAGTGACCTTGATGAGAGAAGATAATGGGATACAATAGTAGAATTCCCACAACTGTGTTGACCATGCTCATTTCAGCTTTAGTTCAACTCACTTTATTATAAAGCACTTAGTGAAGAGTCCACTGTAACTTTTACTATCATCATACTATAAATTTGGTTTGACACACACCTTTATCACAAAAAAGCACACATTGTCCCATTCTCCCCTCTACTCCCCCCATCCCACCCTTTTATTATTATTATTTCTTATAATTTGAGCCAAAGGAAGTTTGTTTTGGTTTTTGAGGCAAAGGATGGAATTATAAGGCTACGACAAATTTAGAATGTTTTACTTTTGGTAAAGCTTTTTGTTGTTCTTTTGTAACTCAAACCCAGTTTCATTTTAGGAAGCCAAACTTTTCATGCAGTTCGATTCTCCTAGCAACTAGAGCACAGGTTTGGTGTAGAAACAATTGGTCCACAAACAAAACCACTATAAGAATTATAGGGACTGAATCTTAAAAACACCTGCAGTCCTGGTTCAACTCTCCCATAAGAACGGCCATACTGGGTCAGACCAATGGTCCATCTAGCCCAGTATCCTGTGCTCTGACAGTGGCCAATGCCAAGGGCTTCAGAGGGAATGAACTGTTAGAACAGGCAATCAGGTGATCCATTCCCTTTCACCCACTCCCAGCTTCTGGTGAATGGAGGCTAGGGACACTCAGAGCATGGAGTTGCAACTCTGCCCATCCTGGCTGATAGCCATTGATGTACCTATCCTCCATGAACTTATATAGTTCTTTTTTGACCCCTGTCATAGTTTTGGCCTTCACAACATCCCCTGGAAAAGAGTTTCACAGGCTGACTGTGCATTGTTTGAAGAAGCACTTCCTTTTGTTTGTTTTAAACCCTGCTGCCTATTAATTTCATTGGGTGACCCCCAGTTCGTGTGTTATGTGAAGGAGTAAATAGCACTTCCTTATTTACTTTCTCCACACCAGTCAAGACTTTATAGACCTCTATCATATCCCCCCAGAGGTAATCTCTTTTCCAAGCTCAAAAGTCCCAGTCTTTTTAATCTCTCCTCATATGGAAGCTGTTCCATACCTCTAATCATTGTAGTTGCCTTTCTTTGTACCTTTTCCAATTACAATAGATCTTTTTTGAGATGGAGCAACCAGATCTGCACATGGTATTCAAGATGTGGGCATACCATGGATTTATATATAGGCAATATGATATTTTCTGTCCTGTTATCTATCCCTTTCTTAATGGTTCCTAACATTCTGTTACTGTGCACTGGCAGTCAAAAAAAGCTGAGTGGATGTTTTCTGAGAACTATCCACAATGACTCCAAGATCTCTCTCAAGTGGTAACAGCTAATTTAGACCCCATCATTTTGTATGTATAGTTGGTGCAGTTATCAACACAATTTCATCTGCCATTTTGTTGCCCAGTCACCCAGTTTTGTGAGATTCCTTTGTAACTCTTCGCAGTCTGCTTCGGACTTAACTATCTTGAGTAGTTTTGCATCATCTGCAAATTTTGCCACCTCCTTGCTTACCCCTTTTCCTGGATCATTTATGAATATGTTGAACAGTACTGGTCCCACTACAGGCCCTGGCGGACATCACTATTTACCTCTCTCCATTCTGAAAACTGACCATTTATTCCTATCCTTTATTTCCTATCTTTTAACCAGTTACTGATAGACAAGAGGACCTTCTCTTTTATCCCATGACTGCTTACTTTGCTTAAGAGCCTTTGGTGAAGGACCCTGTCAAAGGCTTTCTGAAAGTCTAAGTACACTATATCCACTGGATCACCCTTGTCCATGTTTGTTGACCCCCTCACCACTAATAGATTGGGGAAGCATGATTTCCTTTGACAAAAAACATTTTGACTCTTCCTCAACAAATCATGTTCCTCTATGTGTCTGATAATTCTGTTCTTTACTATAGTTTCAACCAATTTGCTTGGTACTGAAGTTAGGCTTACCGGCCTCTAATTCCCAGGATCGCCTTTGGAGCCTATTTTAAAAATTGGTGTCATATTATGTATCCTTGAGTCATCTGGTACAGAAGCTGATTGAAATGATAGATTACATACCACAGTTAATAGTTCTGCAATTTCATATTTGAGTTCCTTCATTACACTTGAGTGAATACCATCTGATCCTGGCAATTTATTACTGTTTAATTTACCAATTTGTTCCAAAACCTCCTCTAACAACACCTTCCACTTGCCAAAGAGCTGTTTACTTGATTTGGTCTTCACCAAGCACTGCTCATTCTCTGATCTCTCTGTTCCCTCTCCAACCCTCACTTGCTCTCGTTCAACATCACACATTAAAACCTCCCTCATGCCCTAGCATTCAGTCTTCCTATGGACTTCATCCTTCAGCACTGATGACGTCTCATCGCTCTCAGCTACCTCTCTTCCATCAACATGGTCGCTGATTCTCTCCATTCTCACTCTCCTCCACCCTTGACTCTTTGCCTCTCTCTCCAATCGCCAGGTCCACCCTACCAACCTTCAGCCCTGGCTCATCTGCAACATCCACTTCCTGTGCTCCTACTCTCGCACTGCAGAGTGTCTCCTCCATTACAAATTTGTTCTCCTCTTTCAGTACTGTCATCTTCCTAGCTAAACAACTCTACTTCTCCAACTTAATGGAATCTCACACCCACCTTCCTGCCACTCACTCCTCAGATGTCCTCCTACCTCCATTTTTCTCGCTGAAAACTATCTTGCCTATTTATTTCAAGAGAAAATTGACAAAATATGATGCCCCCCTCCCTTTAGCTTGTATTACCGTTCCCTCCGACAACTCTTTCCTCCTCCCTTGTCACAGGTGCAGAAGTTTCTTGTCTGTCCTTATCCTCTAACCCCTCCACTTACCCCCAGCAACCCCAT